TACAGTTGTCCCTTGATAATCCGACAGGTATGGGACCAAAGGTGTGTCAGATTACCAAAAGTGTCCGGATTACTGAAAATAATTACATATTTTGCATTGTTTTGCTAGCAGTAACTTACAATATTCTCTACTTCAACTGTTCGAACAGAACTGCTCGCATAAAACACACGAAATGTGTGTCATTGTGTAAAAATTGGATGGGGAGATTCACATCGCGACATGCTTCTGTGCAAGCAGACATGTAACGGGGACGGGTACCTTGACGGGAGGTGCGTCGGACTACCGAGCATGTCGGATTAAAAAACGTCGGACTATAGAGGGACAACTGTACTAAACTGTGTAAGCTCTTTCAGGAAATTTCAAATTCCACGAAGTTCTTCCCAATTGTTTTACTCGCATAATAGTCCTCGCGATGATGGAATTTGCAATATCCTGAATATGTTTGATTTAGTATATTATTTGATTTCTATCAAATCTCAATTTTAAAATTAATTTTCAAAATACTTAAACGACTTTTTTTAAATAATTATTTGGTGATTAGTAAGTGGATTATTTCAGTTTAATTCATATAAATTTACGTATTCGTGCCTCTTCCATTCGAAATAAATCTTTCTTTAATAGAATAATCTATCGAGGAGAATCCTAATGAAATATGAATTATTATATTCATTTGAAATTTTTAAGTTATATATAAATTCTTTATTAATTGTAATGCAGTAGAGCATCGATTATCCAAATGTCGATCAACCGAAACGTCAATTGACCGAAAGCCGGTCGGCAAATTTAAATCTTCGCTAGTGCTGTGGTGATGCAATCTTTGGCTACGTCTTGGGCTACTCCAATATTATTTTTTGTTGGCGTGCGTGTTTTGGCTGGCAGCACTGGTGGGACCACGAGAGGGTACTTAAGGACGTGCCAGGATTTGAACGAATTGCAACATGGGATAGGTTAATATATTTTTTCGTACATAATCAGTTATCTGAAAAATCAATTTTCTGAACAAGTTTGGGCTTGGTTTTTTTTGTATAAATAATTTACTGATAATTGCATAAGTTAAATTCATTTAAAATTGTTTTTATTTTGTCCTGATATCAATTGCTTGTTTTAATGTTTTTCTTCTATCATGTTATAAATTATTCAGTCATATATTAACTTGCAGAAAATGAATTATTATTAAGATTATAGTAAATTAAATTACTTAATATTTAACTATTAAATAGTAGCCGTACGCCTGATATAATTTGGCCTTAATCAAAAAATCTGGTTAATAGAAGGTTACGATTAATCAGATTATAATTAATAAAAATTAAAAATGATTATCATTAAATCATACATTAAAAAGAATATCATAAGCAAAGCGATGATTAATGAAGCTGATTCAGTATTATTATAAATTGTTTAATTGTTAATTTTTATTAGTTTATACTTTCTTCGGTGACAAATGTCATTGTCATTTGTTTTTCTAATTGTAATCCCATATATATATATATATATGATTGTAATAGGCTAATGAGCTTACTTGTTCTTTTAAATATTTGTTGTTACAAATATTGGTCAAGTAAAAGTCATTAAAATGACACAATGGACTCTATTAACACGTTGACCATCATCCGACGCACCGGTGGTCGTACTAATTAGGGCCGTACAGAGCCATAAGACTGCTGGCCGTCGAACCACTCGATGAGGCCATACGATGGTAAACACAATATATTGAAAACTTCAATATAAACTTTCTCCAATTTAAATATTTAAAATAAATTTCAAAAACTAAAAATAGTACATTTGTGCTCTTAAGAGAAATATTAATGGATTCGAAAAAAATTTGATCTTAAACTTCCTTTGTGTTATATACAAGTAAAAAATTGTCTTTAAATAGTGAGAGATAAACAATATTATATTTATATTCCTTTAATTAAATTTTTAAATATACTAATACAGTACGAAATGCATATTATTTCATATAAAACAAATTCAAAGCATTTTCATTTATCTTAAACCATATAATATAAATCTTGAACATTGTATTGTACTTTACCTAATATATTGGATTAAAAAAAGAAACTTTACTACTAAAATATTTTAAAGAACATACATTTTTTTCTGTTTTTCTTTTAGACATTAAATTACATAGAACATTCCATTGCTTGCAAAGAAAGAATGAATAGAAAAAATAAAATTGGAGCTTCTTTCACTGATGATGGTTTTGCCATGGGTAATTATTTAAATTTAATTTACTCTTAATAAAATTTGTTATAACGAGACGTGTAACATTCGTTATGCTATCCATAAATTACAAATATACTACAGTCGACCCCCTCTATAACACTGTTGATTTTTCTGTTTTATATGAATTCTATGTTGTACGAGTCACTTATTTTACAAATATGTGAGCCGTTCACAGCCCGGCACGCTTATTTGTAAAATCTAAATGACTCGTACAACATGGAATTCATATAAAACGGAAAAATCAACAGTGTTATAGGGGGTCGACTGTACTAATATTAAATTTAGGGTAGAAGTATTGCTTTCTTAGATCTGTCTTTATTATACATTAAAAGAAATGTTTAAATAATATAGAAATTTCCCTCTTTCCAAATTGCTGTTAATTTTGTTATGTTGTAACTTGTAACTTTGTTATTAAAAAATAAATTAGTTTTAGAAATCGAGGAAATAAAATAGGGGTTTTTTACCTGTTTAGTTCAAATTAAAATGTGATTTTTAACCTAAAATTATTACTTGAATGACTAAATGAAATTTTTATTCTTATTCAATTTCTCTTAAAGTTTAACTTATTTAATAATAGAAAAGCCCAATTTTAGTTTATTATATTTGTTGTAACTTTAAGAATTAATCTTCCTTTATGACAAGGATTAATTCTTTATCTGTGAACTAACAAATGCATGGCAGAAATGTGGGATTGATCTCTAAGTTGGACGTCTTCCCACTTTTCTAATATGCTTAAGGTCAAACTACTGTTCTTTTGATTAGGTACATTGTATTTATCCATTAAGGTAATAAAAACGAGTCGATTGAAATTTCTTTATCTTACTTAGCTGCAAGTTCAAAATGATTTTTTGTTCAAAGTGTTTGTTTATTTATTTATTTTTAATTGATTTATTAACAAATCTAATAATTCAGGAATGTATCAAATATTAAAAATAAATTCTTATGATCTATTTAAGACACATAATCTTCACTGTATTTTTTTTTTTAATTATAGATTAATGCATAATTTATTTTTAGGTGTGGCATATATTCTCAAACTTTTGGACCAATATCAAGATTTTGATTCACTTCATTGGTTTCAATCTGTTCGAGATAAATATAGAAAAGAAATGGTTAGATATTTTCGTTTTAACATTAATTTATTTATTTTTATGCGAAAAAAGTATTATACTCCATGTATATGTTTGTTTTCTAATTATTATTATTATTTTTTCTTATTTTGAATTATAATCGTTGTTAGAATGATGTTATTAAAGAGAAGAAACAAGCAATAGGTAAAGACGACGAAAAGTTACAACAAATGGCGACTCTTACAGTGAAGCGTCTTGAAATTTGTCAGCAAGTGAGTGTGTTAGTTCTTTTACAAGAATGTTATGAAAGTTTTGTGCTGATGTTGTTGTTTAAATAAAGTACAAATTTCATATAAATATAAAATTTAATTCATTTTTACACTCGTCTTTCCTCTATTACAAAATTATTAATGTATTTGAATCTTATTAATCTTGATTTAGCATTGGAAAATCTCCCATTATCTGATTAAAGCAGAATTATATGAAAAAAAATTGTTTTTATAAAGCTTTTTTATATCTATACAAGCTACCTAAATAGCTTTAAGATTTTTATTTAAACAAGGTACAAACAAATTGAATTCTAACGTCTGGAATAAAACGTTAGCTTAGTTTCTTAAATTTATAGAAAATTTTTATCGTTTAAATGATGTTATTTCTTACAGAAAACTAATCTATAAATTCGCAATTTCAGGAATTTGACTTGCTTAATTACTCCTTGAGCAGCGCACGCATCTTCTTCCGAGCCGACTTAACAGCTGCCGAGGAAAAAGAACAAAAATCCAAAGGTAAACCTTTTTAAAATTATCAATATTATTTAGTTAGGGATATTTTTTTTTAAAAAACATTTACAAAGATATTTATTTTATACAATTTAAACATTAAAAAAGAAAACTTTTTCCATAACTTTTTAGGAAACAATTCGACAGAAGGATCCTGTGGTAAGCAATCATTTTTCTTTTTTTTACATTTTGCTTCTTAATTTATTCACCCACTAAATTAGGTTTATTTTTTGTATGTGTATATATTATTTTTTTGTGCTTTTTCTATAAATTAGCTAATAGTGCATGCTAAAATTTTTGTTTCAGAATCTGCATCAGTTGATATTACCTCTTATTCAATTATGTAGATTAACAGCATGGTTTTAGGTGATGGTGGTCACTTTTTTTTTCCTTAACATTAGTTTTTTTCTCCCTTACTGCTGTTAATTCATATTAAAAAATTACATATATATATATATAAAGCTGAATGAAACTATATAATTGACATTTTAATTCTTTCACCATAGCTTGAAGTCTGTTTTTCAAATAGATGGGATCATTTTATAATGGAAATAATCTGTAAAAATTCTCAAATGGTTTTCGTACAAAACCAGAATAAAGAAGACCTAAAATAAAAAAAAACACCATTTAGTTAATCCTATTTATAAACAAAATAGAAACGTGATTAGAGATTTATTCAAATGATTAAAAAAAAAAGCTGTTAAATAATTTAAAAAGAATTTAATGTAAATAATATTGTGTTACAAATGATGTACTTTTGCAAATAAAATTGTTGAAATTATATATATATAGGCCTATATAACTTGTTTTTTCGATTTATAAACTAAATGCTCGACGTTTTAAAGATTCGGTTTACAGTCGACTCCCCTATAACACTGTTGATAATTCCGTTTTATATGAATTCCATGTTGCACGAGTCACTTAGATTTTACAAATACGTGATCCGTTCACAACCCAGAACACGTATTTGTAAAATCTAAGTGACTCGTACAACATGGAATTCATATAAAATGGAATAATCAACAGTGTTATAGGGAGGGGGTCGACTGTATCTCCCCGATACGTGTGGAAATCGTTGTTTTTAATAATACATTTCCTCAACTGCATAAACCAGTAAGCGTGAAAATGTAATCGGGATGCTTACTCGTTCGGTCGCTGTTCTCGTTTACCGATATTTTATGACGGCACGCGATTTTTCGCCGCTTTTTGTTGCACTTTTGCGGTGTTTACATAACGACGAAAGCATTTTATTTCTTTTTTACGTGAATTCAGTAACCCGATACGGACGAATAAGAGCGTGACTAATGACCAAAACAAGATGTAGTTAGAAACGTTTCTATTGTACTAATTCCATAAATTTATACGTAAAGAAAAAGAGAGGGAATATACAATTGTAAATATTGCATCACCACTGACCGACTTGACTGACTGACACCACACACTAAAAGTGTAATTAACATAGTTTAACGAGTCAGTAGAGACAGAAGAAATCCGTAGTTTCGATAAGAAAACAATGGTTTATAACGTTGAATTTGTAGTGTTTTCGGATTTCGAATTCTTTATTCACGTTCGGCGTGTTACCAGATTGTCACATTACACGAAAATCACGTGGAAAATATACAAATTACCGGTCGATAAACTTGTTAAAAATTTAAATATGGCGATCGATAAAGTGTTTTTCCTGGTTGTAAAACCGTTTTTAACGTGTTCTTTTAGTAATAAAACGGTTAAAAAAAGAAAAAAATGTATATATATATATATATATATATTGATCTAGAGGACGTGCGCGTGTTTTTAAATGATTATTATTTTCGGCGTGTTAAAAAATTTATTAGACGATTACTTATTTAAAATCTTGTTTTAAATTGCGTAAATTTGGCAAAAAAAAAATACGGTTTAGAATAAAAATTTGAATTCTTTCCAAGATAGATATTTTAGCAAATTTATATATAATTTTTTTTTTAAATAAAGATGATATAACCTTAACTGTTCTAAGAAAATGTAATTCTATACAAGAGTTAATTGTCGAGTAGAATTACTGTACTTATTAAACTCTTAAAAAAAAAGAAAAAAATTCTTTATAACGCGCGTGGTTTTAATTTTTTCGAAATAATTTACTGCAAAATTCTACGTAGAGAAGGAAAAAAAAAATATTTAAATTAACGGAGGCGGTACGATCCCGTTTAAATCCAGACGACATATTTCTTTAGTTGGTAGAATTGCCGCGAGGGGAAGAGGGAAGTAGAAATACAGACGACGTCATCAATGCGCGTGCGCTTGTGTCGTTCAAATTCTCCGTTTGAACTTTAAGTGACTTAGAAGAGTTAAAGTTGTTATGACTGCCAGTTTGCTCGTAAACGACGTCCCCTCTACGTTCTGTATCGTTCCCGAAAGGATATAAAACGTTCGGACATGATATAAAAAAGCCTAAGGGATTATTAAAAAGGGAATTACTAATGTTGTTTCTTCTTTACATTAAGCCTAACGAGTTAGGCCTAACTTGAAGTGATGATTTTTCCCGACGATTTCCTGTGGAATTATGTCAAAAAGTGCTTGTAAGAGACCGGTAATACCTAAAGATGCGGACGTGGGTTCGAAACAGCAGCATCAGCAACAGCAGCAGCATTGGTGTCAACATGTTTACGAAGTCGAAGTGGCCGAAGGTATTTGCTACTTGAACATCGAGGGTGGATCCGATAATGGAGAATTCGCCTATTTCGGAACGTTCGACGGCGATAAAGTCAAGTACGGAAGGGGTAAAGTGGCCAAGGATGACGTCATACTAGAAATACAGGGACAGAAGGTAGCGGGTTATACACAGAGGGATGTGGTGGCGTGGCTCAATCATTGCTGCAGGAATGGCAATCCAATAATCATTAGAGCTGTCAGATCAGGTAGGTCTTTGGGTGTAAAATATATAGAAGAAAACGTTTAACTTTCGAAAATACCCGTGACACATTATTAATTTGATTAATGGAGTAGTATTGCAGACACTATCCCCCCTTATGTTACACCAGAAAACACAGTTAAATGCAGTTAATATTAAACCATGCTTAACATATTTGCAGCGTGCTTCTCGCTAGGAAACAATACCGAGCGTTTCGTCCCTACGCCGACACTTTCAATTTTATTTGCAGACGAGACGTGTGTGAGATGCCAAAAAAACAGAATTTCGGAGTGCTCGCTTGTACGGAAAGAGCTATAAAAGAAAGCACTAAAAAATTCGGTGTTTTGGAAACACTGAATTGTCTCGTCTGCAAATTAACAGAGAGAGAGTTGGCGTATCGCTTAGGAACAATTTACGATCAATGGGAAATGGCTGTTTTAAATTTTGAATGCGTTCTGTACCTCAAACCGGATATTTTAGTCGGCCTCACCTTAGTACTAAGTGAATGGAAGGGGCGGATTTTAAAAAGACGGCGTGGAAAGATGCAAAAGTGAAGATTACCTCCCTTTAAGAGTATAAATTAACATAATCTGTTGCATTACATTTTAATTTGTTTACTAAATTTGTGCGCAGAGCTGTAGCTTAATATATTAATAATAATTTGTATGTTCGACCTGTTGCGAATTTATTAAATGTTTTCTTACGAAAGCTTTATTTACAGTTATTATGAGTGATCGGTAATAATACTTTTAAAATTATTTGAGTCAATTATCGTTTCTTAATATTAAAAATATAAAAATATTTTTCACCATTAAAACTAAAAAGTTTGTTCAATTTTATGTACTGTACATGATTAAAAAATATACAAAAACTATAACAAATATGAAGTTTATAATTGTGCTGTATTTAGAAAAACTATTCGTAAGTTGTGTGCATTTATGACATTATTTTCTAATATGCAGTAATACAAAAATGAACAAAATATAAATTTATTTAACAGAAAACACATTACCATTTATTTTTTTCATTGGTATAACAAGAAATATTTCATCTTGTTCTCATATATTTTCACATGTCCTTGCCCTGCTTAGAAAGTTATTCCTCCCTATGGATGTCTTTTTTTTTTATTATTATTATTAAATTTATTGCATTGAAAACTTACACCAAAACATATATACATTTGAAATAAATTTTACTCATAAATTTTCATTCCGTATTGTCAAAAATAAAATCTGATAGTAAAAAAAAATCGTTAAATACAAAGTTAATAAGCTGACGAAGATGCGGATTTTCATTACGGATTTTATCGAGCGAAATACTATAATAAACAAATACGTAGGAAATTTATATTCTAGACACTTTTTATTTAAATATTTTAACTGTAAATCTTTGTAATTTTTTTCCCTCTTAATGGCTATTGAAAGTTTGCCTTTGTTAAATATGTTAAATATTTTCTTTGCTGAAATTTTTAAATTTAATATAAAATCAGACTTTTTGAAAGACGAGAGGGAAGTTTTGCACTAATGAAAATGTCAAATTGTTTTTTCCTTTTTTTACTTTGAAGATAATGCAAAAGAAGAGGTGGAAGTAATTGTAATTGAGTTTTTTCTTTTTTTATTTGGTTTCATAAAAAAGCAATTTATTTAAATATTTAATGCAGGAAATGTTTACGTGAAAAATATGCAATAAAGTGAGAAAAATCCGCTTAAAAATAATAATAATAAATATACAGCAAATGCATAAACAGGAAATTTGTCATTCGCATTTCTAAACGCAGTAATGGAATTCTTTGATTAAACCATCAACTATTTTTTTTTTATCACAACAAATGTAGATAACAAAAAATTGAACTAATAAACTAAATTGTTTTTTTTTAATTATTATTTGATCCTCGTTATTGAAGCACGATAAGTTATCTTATTGTTATAATAATCAGCAGATAACAATTTAAATTTCATTACTTGAGTAGAAATAAAATAACCTTTGTTTTCAAATAGTTTTAATAATAATAACTTGGCAAATCGATTAAATACGTTAAAAATTTGAAACTGTTTTATCATATATACACACCAGAAATTATTATTAAGATGAAACTTTTTATGTTGTCAGTTTATAGATTGTTTTGATCAAAAATATGGATGAGGGGAGGAAAAATCTTGTTTATCCATTAAAATAATTACAGATGTAGCAATTTTTTTTTTTTTTTGTAAAATTAATTAGAATGATAAAGCGTTAAAATAGTTTTATAAGAAATTACTACAGTTATTGTCGACATGTTTTTGTTAATTAATATCAAGCAGCCTCTAGGTTTTCTAAGGTTACAGATATAGTTAAGTTTTAAAGGTGGAGTGACAGAATAAGCTGGGAGGAGTTCAAAGTATGCATTAACATTACACCCAAAATATCATTGAAAAATCAGAGAATTATAGAGATAAGTTTTAATTTGTTAAGGAGATTCTCAAATAAATTCTTGAGTAGAAATTTGATCTGTTTTCTTTTTGTACACGACGTTAATGTAGCTTTATAATAAACTGGAAAATTCGTTCGATTTTTATTATTTTATTATTATTAAGTATGCATAAAACTCCTTTTATCCATTGCTATTCAGAGCGCTATGCAACCCAATCAATGATGAATGCTTATAAAAAGGTGTCCATACTGCTCCGCCTTACATGAGAACTGGTCTGACTATCATTCCCACACAAAATAGCTGTTGGTGATGTTGAAAAAGACCCTTTTTAGTACCTCAGATTATTATTCGAATTTTTATATCGTAAACTTTAGGCGAAAGTCGAGCGAGTGTGACCCGGCCTTTGTACCGTACTACTTAGAATTAAACCAAATTAACTTTGTTGTAACGACGAGATAAGCAAGGTAAACGAACGTAGATGAATCAAACGCAAACTCTCACTCCCCGGATGGACTGAAATTTAAAAGAAAGAAGAGAAAAAAAAAAAATACGGCAGGAAATACGCATTTTGATATACGCCTGTTTAGGTCGATGCCTGCTGAATTGAATCAATTTTGATGTCTAGTATTGCCGCATTATTAAATATTGTGGGAATTCCTAGTCGATTTAATTGCTATTGTAATATATTGATTTATGCTACGAGCAATTAACGATAATTTTCCACCTTTTTTAACGTTGGCTATTTTAATGAATCAAAGGCGAAACTAGTCGACGTTTAGATGATGATGAGTTGTGAACGTGTTGCGCTATGTCCCGAAGGTTTCCAGGAAATAAATTTCTTAACAATTTTTAAAATTCGGTTTTTTTTTCGTTGGAATTTGTACTATTAGAACGGAAGCAAATTAAACTCGTCATATCCCGTCTGGCATATATAATAAGTCAGATATTAGCGCTACCGATATTTAACGTTTCCTGTAATTTCAATAGTTGGAATTCCGCTTTTTTTTTTAATGGCCTTGGATCATGCTGTGAGCGTATAGATTCTATAAAGGTGTGAACGTATATTGTTAGAGGCTGGAACCGTACCGGGTACTGTCTGCGTGCACCTTTTTTTTCCTACGTATAGGTGATTCTTTTAGCAATTGTACCTATTAACCTGGTCGTTGTCGACGATGGTACCTGTTGTTTGTTGCTTGGCAGGAAGTAGGAGGTCACTGTACGGTTATAAGAGATGAGCTTGTTAGAAATAACCGGAGGCATTCGAATAGGTATAACTCGTTCTGTGGCTTTTAGCGGAAGGAAAATAACAAAGCTGTTCTATAGTAATCGGATTCACGACTCATTACTGAACTGAAGCATTTGACTGAAATAATGCTTGGAAACTGTATAGTAGTGGCAGGTGTTTATGGTCGATTTGCTACACAATTCGCCAACGTGCGGTTGTAACCTTCAGGTCAAAGTTCGACCTAAAGAACTTGTCGAAGTTATCGAAAGTTTATCCTAGTATCACGTGTCTTGTATATTTATTTATTTACGCTTGCTAAGAAAAATAACCAGTGTGTTTATTTTTCTTACCAAACGTCTTTTGATTTACAACCAATTGAAAAATAAGGATCATATTAGGTGTTAGAATAAAACCTCTTCTAAAATAGATCGACACGCTTATAATTTTTAACTGCGAAAGATTTTTCTTATTCGTTAAGACTGTTTTATTAAACGTAACAATAATATTTTCCAATAACATGCTGACAGTTATATTATTATTATACACGTCCGACTATCTCTCACAGTAATATATTCACTAACAAAACTTTAAGGAACAATATATCAAGCCATAAAAAAAAAGATTACAGAAAGCACACGTTCAAAGGTCAGTAACTAGACGGTGACTCACTAAACCGCAAAGCATACACGAATGAACGTGAACTCAGCACAAAAAAAATCACCTAAAGTTCGCCACATAATACCGAATTTTTAATATATTCAGGACGGAACAAAAACCAATACAACAAAAAATTTATTATGACAGTTATACCGAGGTATAACAAATGATGAACTTGATAAATAAAGATATATATTTCACGTATAGTGAACATCTTTCAGAAAAATATAGTAAGAAAATTCATAAATTCCGATAAACTCAGAGGAATATATTTCAAAAAAATATATGACAACTGATCAATATTTAACCTATATAAATTTATTTCTTTGTCCAGAAACGAAACAAAAAAAATATATATATATATTAATACAGAATATAATTACGCTGTTAGAAGTGTGTCATCTATAAGTAACATAAATAGTGTTAAGGGACGAATTTATCTCTGATTTAATCCAATTTTGAAATTTATATATCCCGTACTCCTCCTAGTAGGTAGTAGGGTCATTGCTTTTTAATGATGATGGCTATCCAGCAATCACCTTAACTGGATTATCGAACGTGTATACATTAAAAAAATCCAATTATTCTTAGTGTTTTGGATTAGATAAATGTTAAAAGTTTACATTAGCATACGAAAAATATTAAATCTAGGTCTATTGGGACAGTGGTTTTATAGATCGTACGCTTTATTGGATGCGATGTTAGGAGTAAACAT